TGCCGCACGTGGCTGTTGAGGTGGTCGGGCCTGGGGGGGGGAGGGGAGAGAAACATGGCCGCCGCGGTGACGTCATTGACAACGCGGTGATGTCATCACCGCCATGATGACCTCAGGGCGGCCACGATGACGTCATGGTCAAATGGTGACGTCACGGCCAGTACTGACCAATCAATGGCCTCATTGACCCCCAATGGCTCCATTGACCCCCAATGGCCCCATTGACCCCCAATGTCTCCATTGACCCCATTGACCCCCAATTGCCCCACTGATCCCAATGGCTCCATTGACCCACAACTGCCCCATTGACCCCAATGGCCCCATTGACCCCCAACGGCCCCATTGACCCCAATTGCCCCCATTGACCAACCAATGTCCCCACTGACCAACCAATGCCTCCATTGACCAACCGATGTCCCCACTGACCAACTAATGACTCCATTGACCAACCAATGCCTCCATTGACCAACCGATGTCCCCATTGACCAACCATTGACTCCACTGACCAACCAATGCCCCCACTGACCAACCAATGACAACATTGACTTCCAATGACTCCATTGACCAACTAATGACACCATTGACCAACCAATGACTCCATTGACCAACCAATGCCTCCATTGACCAACCGATGTCCCCAATGACCAACCATCGACTCCATTGACCAACCAATGCCCCCATTGACCAACCAATGACTCCATTGACCAACCAATGCCCCCATTGACCAACCAATGCCCCCATTGACCAACCAATGACTCCATTGACCAACGAATTTCTCCATTGACCAACCAATGACTCCATTGACCAACGAATTTCTCCACTGACCAACCAATGCCCCCATTGACCAACCAATGACTCCATTGACCAACCAATGTCCCCATTGACCAACCGATGTCCCCATTGACCAACCAATGTCCCCATTGACCAACCAATTTCTCCACTGACCAACCAATGACTCCATTGACCAACCAATGACTCCATTGACTCCCATTGACACCATTGACCAATCGATGTCCCCATTGACCAACCAATGTCCCCATTGACCAGCCAATGTCCCCATTGACCAACCAATGCCTCAATTGACCAACCAATGCCCTCAATTGACCAACCAATGCCTCGATTGACCAACCGATGCCCTCATTGACCAACCAATGTCCCCATTGACTAACAATGCCTCGATTGACCAACCAATGACTCCATTGACCAACCGATGCCTCCATTGACTAACCAATGCCCCCATTGACCAACCAATGACTCCACTGACCAACCAATGCCTCGATTGACCAACCAATGACTCCATTGACTCCCATTGACACCATTGACCAACCAATGCCACCATTGACCAACCAATGCCACCATTGACTAACCAATGACTCCATTGACCAACCCGATGCCCTCATTGACCATCCAATGTCCCCATTGACCAAGCAATGCCACCATTGACCAACCAATGCCACCATTGACCAACCCATGCCTCGATTGACCAACCGATGCCCTCATTGACCAACCAATGTCCCCATTGACTAACCAATGCCTCGATTGACCAACCAATGACTCCATTGACCAACCAATGTCCCCATTGACTTCCATTGACTCAATTGACCAACCAATGACTCCATTGACCAACCAGTGTCCCCACTGACCAGCCAATGAATCCAATGACCAAGCATTGACTCCATTGACCAACCAATGTCCTCAATTGACCAACCAATGACACCATTGACTTCCAATGACTCCATTGACCAACTAATGACACCATTAACCAACCAATGACTCCATTGACCAACCAATGCCTCCATTGACCAACCGATGTCCCCATTGACGCCCACTGACCAACCAACGTCCCCATTGATCAACCAATGACTCCATTGACCAACCAATGACTCCATTGACCAATGACACCATTGACCAACCAATGTCCCCATTGACCAACCAATGCCTTGACTGACCAAACAATGACTCCGTTGACCAAGCAATGACTCCACTGACCAACCAATGACTCCATTGACCAACCGATGTCCCCATTGACCAACCAATGTCCCCATTGACCAATGACTCCGTTGACCAACCAATGCCCCCATTGACCAACCAATGACACCACTGACCAACCGATGTCCCCATTGACCAACCGATGTCCCCATTGACCAACCGATGTCCCCATTGACCAACCGATGTCCCCATTGACCAATGACTCCGTTGACCAACCAATGCCCCCATTGACTCCCATTGACACCATTGACCAACCAATGACTCCATTGACTCCCATGGACTCCCATTGACACCAATGACCAACCAACGTCCCCATTGATCAACCAATGCCTCCATTGACCAACCAATGTCCCCATTGAACAACCAATGCCTCGATTGACCAACCCATGCCCCCATTGACTCCCAATGGTTCTCTACTCCCCCAAACCCACATTTCCACCTCCCATCCCCACCTGGAGAAGCTCTTCCCGCAGTGGCTGCAGCCGTAGGGCTTCTGCACGGCGCCGTCGTGCGAGCGGACGTGCGAGCTCATGCGGTCCTTACCATTGACCCCAATGGCCCCATTGACTCCCAATGACTCCATTGACCAACCAATGTCCCCATTGACCAACCGATGTCCTCATTGACCAACCAATGACTCCATTGACTAACCAATGACTCCATTGACCAACCGATGTCCCCATTGACCAACCAATGTCCCCATTGACTCCCATTGACCCCATTGACCAACCTATGACACCATTGACCCACCAATGTCCTCATTGACTCCCATTGACACCATTGAGCAGCCATTGACTCCACTGACCAACCAATGCCACCATTGACCAACCAATGTCCCCATTGACTTCCATTGACTCCATTGACCAACCAATGTCCCTATTGACTCCCATTGACACCACTGACCAACCAATGCCTCCATTGACCAACCGATGCCCCCATTGACCAACCAATGTCCCCATTGACCAACCAATGACTCCATTGACCAACCAATGCCCCATTGACTCCCAATGGTTCTCTACGCCCCCCAACCCCCCCCCCCCCATCCCCACCTGGAGAAGCTCTTCCCGCAGTGGCTGCAGGCGTAGGGCTTCTGCACGGCACCGTCGTGCAAGCGGACGTGCGAGCTCATTCGGTCCTTGCCATTGACCCCAATGGCCCCATTGACTCCCATTGACACCATTGACCAACCAATGCCACCATTGACTTCCAATGACTCCATTGACCAACCAATGTCCCCATTGACTTCCATTGACTCCATTGACCAACCAATGACTCCATTGACCAACCAATGTCCCTATTGACTCCCATTGACACCATTGACCAACCAATGCCCCCATTGACCAACCAATGCTTCCATTGACCAACCGATGTCCCCATTGACCAATGCCCCCATTGACCAACCAATGACTCCATTGACTAACCAATGCCTCGATTGACCAACCAATGTCTCCATTGACCAACCAATGACTCCGTTGACCAACCAATGCCCCCGTTGACCAACCAAATGTCCCATTGACTAACCAATGCCTCGACTGACCAACCAATGACTCCATTGACCAACCGATGTCCCCATTGACCAACCAATGCCTCGATTGACCAACCAATGCCTCCATTGACCAACCAATGACTCCATTGACCAACCAATGTCCCCATTGACCAACCAATGACTCCACTGACCAACTAATGTCCCCATTGACCAACCAATGCCTCGATTGACCAACAAATGCCCCCATTGACCAGCCAATGCCCCCATTGACCAACCAATGACTCCATTGACCAACCAATGCCCCCATTGACTCCCAATGGTCCTCAATGCCCCCCAACCCCCCCCATCCCCACCTGGAGAAGCTCTTCCCGCAGTGGCTGCAGCCGTAGGGCTTCTGCACGGCACCGTCGTGCGAGCGGACGTGCGAGCTCATGCGGTCCTTACCATTGACCCCAATGGCCCCATTGACTCCCATTGACACCATTGACCAACCAATGTCCCCATTGACCAACTGATGTCCTCATTGACCAACCAATGACTCCATTGACCAACCAATGCCTCCATTGACCAACCAATGTCCCCACTGACCAACCAATGAATCCAATGACCAAGCAATGACTCCATTAACCAACCAATGACTCCATTGACCAACCAATGCCCCCATTGACCAACCAATGCCTCCATTGACCAACCGATGTCCCCATTGACGAACCAAAGTCCCCATTGACGCCCATTGACCAACCAACGTCCCCATTGACCAACCAATGACTCCATTGATCAACCAATGCCCCCATTGACTCCCAATGGTTCTCTACGCCCCCAAACCCACATTTCCACCTCCCATCCCCACCTGGAGAAGCTCTTCCCGCAGTGGCTGCAGCCGTAGGGCTTCTGCACGGCGCCGTCGTGCGAGCGGACGTGCGAGCTCATGCGGTCCTTGCCACTGACCCCAATGTCCCCATTGACTCCTGTTGACTCCATTGACCAACCAAGCCTCCATTGACCAACCAATGCCTCCATTGACCAACCAATGCCCCCATTGACCAACCAATGACTCCATTGACCAACCAATGACTCCATTGACCAACCAATGCCCCCATTGACTCCCAATGGTCCTCTATGCCCCCCCAACCCCCCCCATCCCCACCTGGAGAAGCTCTTCCCGCAGTGGCTGCAGCCGTAGGGCTTCTGCACGGCGCCGTCGTGCGAGCGGACGTGCGAGCTCATGCGGTCCTTGCCATTGACCCCAATGGCCCCATTGACTCCCGTTGACACCATTGACCAACCAATGCCACCATTGACTTTCAATGACTCCATTGACTAACCAATGTCCCCATTGACTTCCATTGACTCCATTGACCAACCAATGACTCCATTGACCAACCAATGTCCCTATTGACTCCCATTGACACCATTGACCAACCAATGCCCCCACTGACCAACCAATGCCTCCATTGACCAACCAATGCCTCCATTGACCAACCGATGTCCCCATTGACCAATGCCCCCATTGACCAATGCCCCCATTGACCAACCAATGACTCCATTGACTAACCAATGCCTCGACTGACCAACCAATGCCTCCATTGACCAACCAATGCCCCCATTGACCAACCAATGCCCCCATTGACCAACCAATGACTCCATTGACCAACCAATGCCCCCATTGACTCCCAATGGTCCTCTATGCCCCCCCACCCCCCCCCCCCCCCACATCCCCACCTGGAGAAGCTCTTCCCGCAGTGGCTGCAGCCGTAGGGCTTCTGCACGGCGCCGTCGTGCGAGCGGACGTGCGAGCTCATGCGGTCCTTACCATTGACCCCAATGGCCCCATTGACTCCCAATGACTCCATTGACCAACCAATGTCCCCATTGACCAACTGATGTCCTCATTGACCAACCAATGACTCCATTGACCAACCTATGACTCCATTGACCAACCGATGTCCCCATTGACCAACCAATGTCCCCATTGACTCCCATTGACCCCATTGACCAAGCTATGACACCATTGACCAACCAATGCCACCATTGACTCCCATTGACACCATTGAGCAGCCATTGACTCCACTGACCAACCAATGCCCCCATTGACCAACCAATGACTCCATTGACCAACCAATGCCCCCATTGACTCCCAATGGTCCTCTATGCCCCCCCAACCCCCCCCCCCCCCCACATCCCCACCTGGAGAAGCTCTTCCCGCAGTGGCTGCAGCCGTAGGGCTTCTGCACGGCGCCGTCGTGCGAGCGGACGTGCGAGCTCATGCGGTCCTTGCGTTTGAAGCGTTGCTGGCACACGGGGCACTGGTGGGGCTTCTCATCCGAGTGGGACAACTGGTGCCTCTTGAGGTGGTAGACGTCCCGAAATCCCTTGCCGCACATCTCGCACGCGTGGCTCTTGCGGGCCCTCTTCATCCCTTGCGTCGTGGTCGATGTCGTCGCCGTCGCCGTCGACTCAACGGCGTTGGCCCCGCTCAAGCCGGCTACGCTCAACAAGCTGATGGGCACCATGGTGGGCATCTTCATAGGGCCGCTATGGGGCCGCTGGGCCCCCTTGGGCCCCCCGGCGCCGCTATGGATGGCTTCGTGGCGCCGGAGGTTGTAGCCGTTCTTGAACTCCTTGGAGCATAGGGAGCAGATGTAGGGCCCCTTGCTCTTGGCCTTGCGTTGCTGTGGGGCAGGCGTGGGGGGCACCCCCGCTATGGGGGGTTTTAGGGCGCCGGGGTCGACGGTGCTGGGGGGGAGGGGGGGGGTTTGGGGGGGGAGGTGGTGGTGGGGGGAGGGGGGGGAGGAGCAGAGGAAGGGGGCGGGGGGTGGGGGGGTGGGGGTGGGGGGGGGGGTCTGGGGTGAGCACGGGGAGGAGGTCGACCTGGAGGGGGTCGGTGGCCGTGGGGGGGCCTGGAAGGGAGAGAGGGGGGAGAGAGGTTATGGGGGGGGGGATGGACCAGTATAGACCAGTATGGACCAGTATAGACCAATATGGACCGGTATAGACCGGTATGGACCGGTATAGAAAGGTATGGGCAATATGGACCAGTATGGACCAGTATAGAGCAGTATGGACCGGTATAGACCAGTACGGACCGGTATAGAAAGGTATGGGGCAACATGGACCAGTATGGACCAGTATAGAACAGTATGGACCAGTATGGGGCAATATGGACCAGTATGGACCAGTATAGAACAATATGGACCAGAATGGACCAGTATAGAAAGGTATGGGGCAACATGGACCAGTATGGACCAGTATAGAACAGTATGGACCACTATGGACCGGTATAGACCGGTATGGACCGGTATGGACCAGTATGGACCAGTATGGGGCAATATGGACCAGTATGGACCAGTATAGAACAGTATGGACCAGTATGGACCGGTAATGGACCAGTATGGGGCAATATGGACCAGTATGGACCAGTATAGAACAGTATGGACCAGTATGGATTGGTATGGACCAGTATGGATCGGTATGGACTGGTAGAGACCAGTATGGACCAGTATGGGGCAATAGGGACCAGTATGGACCATTATAGAACAGTATGGACCAGTATGGACCGGTATAGACCGGTACGGACCAGTATGGACCAGTATGGATCAGTATGGACTGGTATAGACCAGTATGGACCAGTATGGGGCAATATGGAGCAGCATGGACCAGTAGAGACACCAGTGACACCAGTAACATGGGTACAGGGGCACCCATTGCCCCCATAGCACCCATTGCACCCAGTGTCATCATAGCACCCATTGCACCCAATAACCCCATAGCACCCATTGCTCCCAGCGGCCCCATAGCACCCATTGCACCCAATAACCCCATAGCAACCATTGCTCCCAGCGGCCCCATAGCACCCATTGCACCCAATAACCCCATAGCACCCATTGCACCCAGTGTCCTCATAGCACCCATTGCACTCAGTGTCCCCATAGCACCCATGAGCCCAGTGGCACCCTAGCACCCACTGCACCCACTGTCCCCATAGCACCCATTGCACCCAGTGTCCCCATAGCACCCATTGCTCCCAGCGGCCCCATAGCACCCATCGCACCCAATAACCCCATAGCACCCATTGCACTCAGTGTCCCCATAGCACCCATTGCACCCAGTGTCCCCATAGCATCCACTGCACCCAGTGTCCCCATAGCACCCATTGCACCCAATAACCCCCATAGCACCCATTGCACTCAGTGTCCCCATAGCACCCATTGCACCCAGTGTCCCCATAGCATCCACTGCACCCAGTGTCCCCATAGCACCCATTGCACCCAGTGGCCCCATAGCATCCACTGCACCCAGTGTCCCCATAGCACCCATTGCACCCAGTGTCTCCATAGCACCCACTGCACCCACTGTCCCCATAGCACCCATTGCACCCAATAGCCCCATAGCACCCATTGCACCCAATAGCCCCATAGCACCCATTGCACCCAGTGTCCCCATAGCACCCATTGCAACCAAAGTCCCCATAGCACCCATTGCACCCACTGCACGCAGTGTCCTCATAGCACCCATTGCACCCAGTGTCCCCATAGCACCCATTGCACCCAGTATCCCCATAGCACCCATAGCACCCAGGGTCCCCAGAACACCCACTGCACCCAGCGTGCCCATAGCACCCAGTGTCCCCATAGCACCCATTGCACCCAGTATCCCCATAGCACCCATAGCACCCAGTGTCCCCATAGCACCCATTGCACCCAGTATCCCCATAGCACCCATAGCACCCAGTGCCCCCATAGCACCCATTGCCCCGACAGCACCCAATGCACCCAGTGTCCCCATAGCACCCATTGCACCCAGTGCCCCCATAGCACCAATTGAACCCAACGTCCCCATAGCACCCATTGCACCCATTGTCCCCATAGCACCCATTGCACCCAGTGTCCCCATAGCACCCATTGCACCCAGTGTCCTCATAGCACCCATTGAACCCAGTGTCCCCATAGCACCCATTGAACCCAGTGTCCCCATAGCACCGATTGCACCCAGTGTCCCCATAGCACCGATTGCACCCAGTGTCCCCATAGCACCGATTGCACCCAGTGTCCCCATAGCACCAATTGAACCCAACGTCCCCATAGCACCCACTGCACCCAAAGTCCCCACTGCACCCATTGTACCCATTGTCCCCATAGCACCCATTGCACCCAGTGCCCCCATAGCAACCATTGCCATCAGTGTCCCCGTAGCACCCATTGCACCCAGTGGCCCCATAGCACCCATTGCACCCAGCGTCCTCATAGCACCCATTGTCCCCATAGCACCCAATGCACCCAGTGTCCCCATAGCACCCACTGCCTCCACAGCACTCACTGACCCCAGTGTCCCCATAGCACCCATTGCACCCAGTGGCCCCATAGCACCCATTGCACCCAGCGTCCTCATAGCACCCATTGTCCCCATAGCACCCAATGCACCCAGTGTCCCCATAGCACCCATTGCACCCAGTGGCCCCATAGCACCCATTGCACCCAGTGTCCTCATAGCACCCATTGCCCCCATAGCACCCAATGCACCCAGTGTCCCCATAGCACCCATAGCACCCAGTGTCCCCATAGCACCCAGTGTCCCCATAGCACCCAGTGTTCCCATAGCACCCACAGCACCCAGTGACCCCATAGCACCCATAGCAACCAGTGTCCCCATAGCACCCAGTGTCCCCATAGCACCCAGTACCTCCCTAGCACCCAGTGTTCCCATAGCACTCATAGCACCCATGACCACCAGTGGCCCCATAGCACCCATAGCACCCAGTGTCCCCATAGCACCCAGTGCCCCCATAGCACCCAGTGTCCCCATAGCACCCATTGCCCCCATAGCACCCATTGCCCCCATAGCACCCATTGCACCCAGTGTCCCCATAGCACCCACAGCACCCAGTGGCCCCATAGCACCCATGGGCACCAGTAGCCCCAGTACAGACACCAGTGCCTCCATCGCCCCCATTGCCATCAACGAGCCCCATAGCACCCATAGCACCCATGGCCCCATTGCCCCCCATAGCCCCACTGCCCCCATAGCCCCCCATAGCCCCATAGCCTCCATTACCCCCCATAGCCCCATAGCCCCATTACCCCCCATAGCCCCATAGCCCCCATTACCCCTCATAGCCCCATAGCACCCATTACCCCCTATAGCCCCATTACCCCCTATAGCCCCATAGCCCCCATTACCTCCTATAGCCCCATAGCCCCCATAGCCCCCTATAGCCCCATAGCCCCCATAGCCCCCATTACCCCACATAGCCCCCATTGCCCCCTATAGCCCCATAGCCCCCCATTGCCCCATAGCCCCCATTACCCCTCATAGCCCCATAGCCCCCATTACCCCCTGTAGCCCCACAGCCCCCATTACCCCCTGTAGCCCCATAGCCCCTATTACCCCCTATAGCCCATAGCGCCCATTACCCCCTATAGCCCCCGTTACCCCTATAGCCCCATAGCCCCCCATTGCCCCATAGCCCCCATTACCCCTCATAGCCCCATAGCGCCCATTACCCCCTATAGCCCCCATTACCCCCTATAGCCCCATAGTCCCCATTACCCCCCATAGCCCCCATTGCCCCCTATAGCCCCATAGCCCCCATTACCCCCTATAGCCCCCATTACCCCCTATAGCCCCATAGTCCCCATTACCCCCCATAGCCCCCATTGCCCCCTATAGCCCCATAGCCCCCATTACCCCCTATAGCCCCATAGCCCCCATTGCCCCCCATAGCCCCATAGCCCCCATGACCCCACATAGCCCCCATTGCCCCCTATAGCCCCATAGCCCTCATTACCCCACATAGCCCCCACTACCCCCCTATAGGCCCATTAACCCCCCATTGCCCCCCTAGCCCCCCATTAACCCCATAGACCCCATTACCCCCATTGCCCTCCATTGCCTCCCACAGCCCCATAGCCCCCATAGCCCCCCGCAGCCCCATAGCCCCATTACCCCCATAGCTCCCATTACCCCACAGGCCCCATTACCCCTATAGAACCATTACCCCCCCATTGCCCCATAGCCCCCTTGCCCCCCATAGGCCCCCATTACCCCATAGCCCCCTATAGCCCCATTAGCCCCATAGCCCCCCATTAACCCCCATAGCCCCCATTGCCCCATAGCCCCCTATAGCCCCATTACCCCCATAACCCCCCATTAACCCCATTGCCCCATAGCCCCCTATAGCCCCATTACCCCGATAGCCCCATAGCCCCCCATTAACCCCCATAGCCCCCCATTAACCCCATTACCCCCATTGCCCCATAGCCCCCTATAGCCCCATTACCCCATAGGCCCATAGCCCCCCATTAACCCCCATAGCCCCCATTGCCCCATAGCCCCCATTAACCCCATAGCCCCCTAGGGCCCCCATTGCCTCCCATAGCCCCATAGCCCCCCATTAACCCCCATAGTCCCCATTGCCCCATAGCCCCCTATAGCACCATTACCCCCATAGCCCCATAGCCCCCCATTAACCCCCATAGCCCCCTAGTGCCCCATTGCCTCCCATAGCCCCATAGCCCCCCATTAACCCCCATAGTCCCCATTGCCTCATAGCCCCCTATAGCACCATTACCCCCATAGCCCCATAACCCCCCATTGCCCCCCATTAACCCATAGGCCCCCAATGCCCCATAACCCCCCCAGAGCCCCATTGCCCCCATTACCCCCTATAGCCCCC